CACCAGCCCGCAGGGTTCTCCTCCAAGCTCCTAAGTTCTGGTAATATTACATCTTCCTTTCTGCTTTCTTCAGGTATTAACTCTGGGTTACCTCAACATCTCGTTTTTGTTCTTTTATTTTTCTAACACCCAAGTGACTAATTCTCACTACTGAATGCCCTGTTTATAATACGTAATGCAGTTTCTCTTTCCCTGACTGGACTTTGATTGACAGACCCTCTGAAAGGGTGTTCTGAGGATTAAATGAGATAATGGATACACATAAGAACCTTTATATACTGTATAATAGACAGCTGTTTTCTTCTATTCCCATCTTTTCTTCCTTTCTCCTACACTTGAACCTTGACACTGCAGTAATTTATCTTTTTGAAATAAAAGAGTACGATTAAAATCTTCCCACAAAGCAAATATCAGGTTTAGATGGTTTTAAACAACAAGTTCTATCAAATTTTCAAGGGCAATAGTCTAGCAAATTTCCAGACAATAGAAGAAGAAGTAAAACGCCCCAGGTAGAGTAACACTGATACCAAAACCAGACAAAGATGTTACATGAAGGGAAAAGTCCAAGTCCATTTTACTCATGACTACAAATGCAAAATTCCTAAACAAAATATTCTAAATAGTAGGGTATTGGTACCAAGGAACTGCCTGCATATAGGACAAGAAGGGAAGCAAAGTCATTGCTGATAAAATTAAGGTGGGGAAGTGATTAGTCATAAGATTTCATCAATGGTTTAGAGATAGCAAAGGAGTGCTCTGAGGGTCACTTATAATCAAAGACCGGAGAAAAATAAAAATCTATCTTACTTTTAATGATGGGATCCTTCATATAGCCATATTCAGAAGTCAGGCACCATGCTGAAAACAAGGGGATCAAGTGTAAAGATAGAATAGATCTCAAAATCTTCATCTCTCACCTACCTTTTCTCAGGAAGCTATTAGAGAATGTTGTCTTCCAAAAGAATGGAGTAAACCAAGAAAAAGGAGGAGTAAGAATGCAAGAAACAGAGGATCCATCACAGAAGAGAAGAGAAGGGAATTCCCTAGATGATTGTTCAAACTGGAGGGCAAACTGCACTAGAAGAGATGCCTCCTTGAAAAGAAATGGACTGATCACTTGTCGTATTTAACCACAGAAAAACAAAACAAAACTTTGCGTGTGTGTGTATATTATAGATCAATATACGTGTTTTATTTATATATGTATAGATATATGTTTGTTTTACGTATATAAAACAATAAAACAATGTTATATATAAAAATGTTTTACATATGTGCAGATAAAACAATCATTTTTTATTATATATATAAAAATCTCAATTGGTTTTTACTTATTTTACTTTCAGCAGAAATTTTGCTTGGTTTTCTCCCAAAAGGGTGGAAAAAGTCAAGCAAAAAAGAAAAGGAAAGGATGATTCTTCTAAAGACAAATTTTGCCAACTTGGTGTTTTCTGTTTTTGCGAATGTACAGTTTAATTTTCAGGTAAATATCTTTCAAAATAAAAACTCTAGATTGCAAAAACAAGCAAACAAAAAAGATAATGGAGGGACTCTTATTGACTGCTATCAAGCAAACCATTCAGGTCTTTATGTTTTTTTTTGTTTTTTTTTGTTTTTTTTTTTTTAAAGATTTTATTTATTCATTTTTTTCCCCCCAAAGCCCCAGTAGATAGCTGCATGTCATAGGTTCACATCCTTCTAGTTGCTGCACGTGGGACTCGGCCCCGCGTTGGACGGAGAAGTGGTGCCTCGGGGCGCGCCCGGGATCCGAACCCGGGCCGCCAGCATCAGAGCGTGCGCACTTAACCGCTAAGCCACGGAGCCGGCCCAGGTCTTTATGTTAATCTGCTGCTGCAAGAGGCCTGAAGAAAGCCAAGAAGGTCTGATTTATTTCCTCCTCAGCCTGAGTTCTAACAGCAGGAAGAAGAAAGACTCCAGGGTAAGAAAGCTTGGCACCTTCAATAACTCCAGTCTGGCTGCCCGCTGTCACACGCCAAGACAATGGCAGCAGGCACCTTTCCTGGCGCCAGAGACACATTCTAAAAAGAGTTTTCTCAAAACTATCTTCCACAGGATGCTACATACTACACAGAATTGTATCTTCCTTCACAATAGTTGAAGAAATTTCACTCCTGAACACCAGCCAAATCCAGTGAGCAACACTGGCGCAGACTGTGTGAGATCCTTAACGCAATAACAACACAGCAAGATCTGTGCACAGGTGCTTGTTTTCAACGTAGCTACAATATCACACATGGGCTCAGGTATCTGGTTCACATTCTGAATGTAAAATAAAAAAGTTTAGAAATCCAAAAGCAAATGGGAGAGTTTTTATTCATTTCCTTAAAAAAAACAGTTTCTTATAGATACAAAAACATCATCAAATCAAATTTCCCATGAATTCCAGGGCTTAGCTGTCAACGCTTTACTGTTTTTTAACGGTATGTACTGCCCAAATATGGCACCTAAAACTTACCTTTGAAGCATGTAATATCTCATCTCCTTATTTTCCTCTGTAGAGCCCTCCATAGCAAGATGACAAAGGAATGGAAGCTTTTTATTCAGATTTCAGCCTTGTAAACACAAGCTGCAGTTCGTCTTCCTAGTGTAGATGGCTTAAAATCTAGGAGGACAAGAGATACTGTGCCTTCTGCCTACTTGGCCCTGCTTCAGTCAGACTAGAGAATTCCTGATGGCCTCAAACTACAGTCTTTTTGTCTACTTTGTCCCCATTTTCCATACTTCCCCACCTTTCCTCCTTTTTTGTATTTTCCCCCTACGCTTGGCTCACACACAGAATTAGCTGATTTCCCAAGGGGACTGAGAGGAGAAGGGGAGAAATATAAAAGCCTGTATAACCAGAAAACAGATCTTAGCAGCTCTGCGTTAGCCGCAGCAAACATGATTCAACAATGGTCACTTTCTTGGGACGGTCACCAGAGGAAAGCTCCACAGCCTCTGCTGATTGCCAGGGGCAGAGGACAGGAAGGGCCCAGGGCAAAAAGAAGACACAGTTTACGAGGACAACTAAGCCAAGAAAATAATGGGGTCACGAAACCCAGAGGGAGGAGGACAACACAGCCTAAGTAGGTAATTTCTGAGATCCAATCAAAACAAATAATACTGATTATCAGACTGAAGCGGGGGAAGAGTAGGTCAGGGGTAAAGGGAGCAAGAAGAAAGGACAAAACTTGCCACTACGAACAAACTTTGAATAAAGTGGGAGCCAAAATTCTAATTTTCAGGCCAGAGTAGTGACATACACACAAAAACCTTTTTTAAAACAACAAAATCTAAGATTTTAGTCACTAAAACTTGAGAATAAGCGGCCGGCCCTGTGGCTTAGCGGTTAAGTGTGCGCGCTCCACTGCTGGCGGCCCGGGTTCGGATCCCGGGTGCGCACCGACGTATTGTTTCTCCAGCCATGCTGAGGCCGCGTCCCACATACAGCAACTAGAAGGACGTGCAGCTATGACATACAACTATCTACTGGGGCTTTGGGGGA